TCTCTTGGCTTAAAAGCCATCTCTTTGCTGATAACACCCAGATTACGATCTCCGGCCGCCACTCTCCCCTGAATTCCATCCAGACTTGTCCAGGTTTGCCCAGGACGGTCCTGGTTTATGCCTTGTTATTCTGACATAATTATTAATAGTGTTCTGGTGTATTACTTTCCTATTGTAGCTGTAACAAATCACAAACTCAGTGGCTTAAGCAACACAAATTTATTATTTTACAGTTCTGTAGGTCAGAAGTCTGACATGGTACTCACTGGGCTAAAATCAAGGGCTCTAGCAGGACTGTGGCCCTTTCTGGAGGCCCTGGGGGAAGGCCCGTTTCCTGGCTCATTCAGGTTGTTGGCTGAATTCAACTCCTTGTGCTCGTAAAGGCTGGCATCCTCTTTCCTTGCTGGCAGTCAGCTGAGGGTTATTCTCAGCTTCTCGAGGCCACCCTACACCTTGGCTCATGGGCACCTTTGTCTTCCAAGTTAGCAGCAATGAGTCAAGTCCTTCTCATGCACCATTTCTTCTGCCTCTTGCTCCCCCATCCTTGAGTCTCTCCGACCTGCTCTTCACCACCTCCCTCTTCCACGGTTAAGGACTCATGTAACTAGATTGGGCGCACCTAGATAAACCACGATCATCTCTCCATCTCAATGTCCTTAAACCTTAATCACATCTGCAAAGTCCCTTTTGCCATGTGAGGTAAATAGTCACAGGCCCCAGGGATAAGGATGTGAACACCCGTGAGGCACGGGTCATTAGTCTGTCACCCCGGGTTTGGCCAACTGTCTGCTTGACTTCTCTACTTGCATGTTTCATGGGCATTTCAAATCTAACATGTCCGAAAGAGAACTTTTAATTCCTTCCCCACCAAAAATCTACCCTACGTTGTCACATGGCAACATTATCGACCTTGTCAATCAAATCAAAAGCCAAAAACCTAGGGGCCATCTTTAATTGCTTCCTTTTATTCGCTACATTCAATTGCTCCTTAAATCCTGCTGAGTTCAACTCCAAAATATGTCTGAACCCGCTCTCTCCTCTCCAGCTTTAGAGCTGCCATTCGAATCTAAGGCATCATTTCATTTTTTAAAAGATTTTATTTATCTATTTGAGAGAGAGAACAAGTGGGGTGGGGAGGGGCAGGAAGAGAGGGAGAAGCAGGCTCCCCGCTGAGCAGGGAGCCCGACGCGGGCCTCGATCCCAAGACCCGGAGTTCATGTCCTGAGCTGAAGGCAGACGCTTAACTAACCGAGCCCCCCAGGCGCCCCTAAGGAATCATTTCTTACTTGGACTTTGTAAGTCTCTTCTTACCTCGTTTTCCCACTCAGCCTTTCTTCCCTCTAATCTATTATCCACACAGCAACCAGAGGGCTATTTTTATTTTTATTTTTATTTTTATTTATTTTTTTTAAAGATTTTATTTATTTATTTGACA